ACACTGATGACATGCTAAACTCAATGTCGATGTATCGCGATCCAATTACGAGAAGCCAAACAGCGGACCCGGAGATGACCAAAAGAATCGGCGGCGCAGGACCAACATCAACGACATCCGTACCAATTGGTCTTCCCGCCAATCCTCGTGCCATGCGTCATCCCAGGTACATGACTGCTGACCCGAATGATGAGGATGACATTCCAGCAGTGCCAAGTATCCCAGACAACATGCAATTCCAAGACTCGCACTCTGGAGAGACAGACGACATTGGGCCTCTACTTCCCGCAACCACTTTTGGTCAGCCTACTGCACCTCCAAGGTCCATGTCGGCACCTCCACAGGACATTCTCCCATCCAGCACCTACAACTCGCCTACCTTCCCGATGGGCAGACGCCCCTCTGTAGGTGGATCTCGCGGTCACTCTCGCCAGAACACTATGCCCGATGTCCTTCCTCAGACCAACTACAAGCGCCATAGCCCGCCGCCCATCACTGCAAGCATCGCCGAGACGATTCACGAGGGTCAGAACCAAGTCATCATCATCGACCAGGAAGAAGACAGAGCCCCTCCTCTACTGTCTCAGCTCCAGCACCTAGCAACCCCACCGCCTCCGCCACCACCACCGCTAAACCTTGGTGGCCACAACGGCAACGGCATCGGTATGATCAACATTGCCATCGACAGCAACAGCCCGGGCGAGAAGCCCATGGAAGTGTCACCTACCAACCCTTCCGCTACAGGCTCCCCACATGCACACCGTCGGGGACGCGGCAGTGTGAGCGAAAACCTGGGTATGACATTCAAGCGCGTAACTGAACGCATGCGTAGCACCAGCCGTGGGCCTCAGCGCGCCAAATCCCCACCTATCACTATGACCCGCGCTGAGCGATCCCCCTACGAGAGCGTACCAGAGTTCTCCTTCCCCCGCGGACCAAACACGAGATCCCCTCCTGGCGACTCGGGCAACCACCACGACTCGTACTTCAACCAGGTTCCTCCTCCGCCTCCGCCGCCACCACCGATGCCCCAGCCCATGGAGCAAGTCATTCCTCCGGACAACGGTCAGCCTTTCTACAGGAACCCCAAGGAGCTCCGCGCCAATATGCCTCCCAACACTCTCCAAGCTGGTGTATACCAGGGCGGCGAAAACACCCCCATGATCTAGGCTCTTAGGCCTTCATCACCCTTTTCCTCACATACCATGTACAACTGAGACGGCCTACTATAACGACAAACCTTTGCATCTTCAACACTCTCCCTGGCAACCTTGACCGTTGATAACAACATCTACTTCTCCACCACCTCCTTTGGCATCTTTTACCATCATCAAGCGTGTCATTACCGCATTGCTCTTTTTATCCTTGCCTTTCTTGTTCTCGTAGTATCATTTAGCGAGTTGGGTTGCAGTTCAGTTTATCTTGTTGTCCACACATGTTTTGTATCTTCAAGCCAAAGACCTGGATCTGGGAAAACTACCTTATCTTTTCCCACTAACGCTTCGCGGCGGATTATGTCGATACCCTTTTTTTTGTATGTAGTTAGCTTTGGCATTTTGTGTTTTGTGTTTTGAACAAGGCGGGCGGGTATTAGCATTGCATTCGGAGGATGAGGATAAAGGGAGAGAGAATTCGCATTAGGCGGATTGACTGATGGGGTCTGTGGTTTATGGTACAACGGGGGAAAAGAGCTGGAAATCTTTCATCTTCAACGTTAATGTACATGCTTCATGATTGCGCTTTCTTGCTTACCTTGGCCTTGCTACGTCTGTCCTTTGCTGCTCTGCTCTGCTCTGCCCTGCTATCGTTCTCGCACCGTACTTTTGCCCAAAGCGACTCAACCCCACCACCATGTCTATACAACATCACTGTTGCCACGAAATTGCTCAGCCTCTGATTACCGCGCGCGTTGTTTCCTACTCAATATACCAAAGATAAGCGCCTCACGGCACCAAAAGCTCGCTCTTTCTCTTTAACACACTCTTTTATCGTCAGGGTATGAGAGTAGGATTAATAAGGACATCTTTAGCCTAGTTCAGTCTAATCTAACTCTATCCACTCTCTACATCTTGCACGGGATAAGTGTTGAAGGAAATACCAAGTGAATAGATACATGCATCTTGTTGATGTATCCACTACTTCGCTAACCTCCTGTCATGCTGACCCCCGACGTACATCCCATCGCCTCGTACTCATATCCATGTAGTAGATGGGGTATCGCATACATCCAAACCATATCGCCGTGCCTCTTGGTCAACTGATCCGTGGCACCAAACGTATGTCTCATCATGTGCATATCCGATATGCTGAGGTCCCCGATATCGATGATTGTAAGGCTATGCAAGATGAAGACCTAGCACAGAGATATGTCATCTCAATCTATGTTGTGTGGACTGCGGTATAGAAGGCGTCCGTATTCGTTAGGATGTCGTCGAAATGCTGATGTCTCGTCACTGTCACGTGGATATGCATGTTCCGTTCACGTAGCGGTGTTGGTATTGGCGACAGGTGCAGGAGCGGGAGCAACGGCAGCTGGGGCAGCATCGCCAGCACCCGCAGCGGGAACAGGACCAGCATGTGCGCCGCCTCTAGCACCTCCACGACCACCACGTCCTCCACGAGGTGCAAAGTTGCCACGAGCGCCGCCACGAGCAGGCCCAGTCGGTGGACCGTTGAAGCGAGGAGCTCTGGCGACCTTTTCTTTCCGTTCAAGAACCTGAACAGCGCCTTGGGCGATCTTGATGGGGCTGGCGGCCATGGCTTTCTTGAGACCATCCGGCTCGGCAAAGTCGACATAGGCGAAGCCCTTACGCTTGTCAATCTCGACTTTGTCAATACCTCCAAAGGTCTTCATGACTTCTTCGATGAGGGGCTCGGTGATACCCTGGCTGGGATTGGCATGCTTCAGGAACGCTTGCTTGCTCGTGGGTGCGGGCACAGGTTGAGCTGGTGCTGCTTTGGGGGCATTGTTGTGCGCCTGGGCGGGTCCCGCATCGGCCTTTGCTGGAGTAGAGTGCGACTGTGTAGGAGCGGGGCTGTTTCTGGCTGCGGCAGGCTCGGTGGGTGGAGCTCGTGAAGCAGCTGGACCCTTGGGAGCCGTCGGAGTCTGAGCCTGAGGCTTCTTCAAGATTTGCGGCGCAGGAGTCTTCAACGGCGTCTGGAGCTTTACATCGCTGGCAGTAGCCTTGTCGTTGGGCTTGTCGCCCTGATTGGCCTTGAAAGCGCGGCGTTCTGCTCGAGTCGGGCGTTCCTTCCTGCTTGCCTGCGCATTCTTGTCCGGAGTTACTGCTGCTGGTTGTGAAGCAGGCGACTCTTTGGCCTTTTCCTCGACTGCCTTGGTCTCCTTTGCTTGCGCATTGGACTCGGGCGCAGGCGTACCAACCTCGCGCTTCGTTCCACGTCGACGAGTTGGGACAGGTCCTACACCGAGGTCACGCTGCAGCATCGACTTTGCGAGTGCGACGTTACCACGCTTGCGCTCCGGTGCTGGGCTGGCAGAGGTCTTGTCCGCCGAGGCTGAGGCAGGTTTGGAGGATGACGCTTCCTTGTTAAGGATCTTGACAGCCTCCTTAGAGGCTTGAGCCTTGTCAGCCTTGCTTATGCGGCGATTCTTATCTCCCGAGTTTAGGGCGTTCTCTTTGCCTGGCTTGGCGAGTATCTTCTTCTCACCATCATCCTTGCCTTCTCCACGACCTCGATTTGCCTTTGCGCTCGGCTTCTCCCTGTTAGCCTTCTTTTCGCGGAGCGCTTCGATCAGAGGAGTGGTTTTGACCTTCTCCTTCTGACCCTCATTGTCGGCGGCCGGGGGCTTGGTGATGGGGTTGGTGAGGCTCTCGAGGAAGTCCTTGAATTCCTGATCCTGATCGATGGTGCCCTGGCGGTTGTCGTTCCTACGGCGGCCACCAGGCATCTTCGGGTACGGAGCGTATTCGAGCGTAGGCGGGCCGACGAGGGCGGGGTCCTGCCATGACTTGGTGGCATCGTGGAAGGTAATGGCGCGCACGTGGTCGCCGAGGGCCTTGACGTGGTCCTGCTTGGTAACGTGGATGTATGCGCGCGCTGGCTTGGAGGGTTTGGCGGCACTGAGGGGGTCAATAGGCCGTCTCTAAAAGACAGGAAGGTGAGGTGTACTCAGTAGAAATCTTGCCCTTTCTGTAATTCATCCAATCGATCTTGCCAGCACCAAGCTTCCACTCGTCGCCTAAAGCCTCTATGAACTCGGTCTTGGTAAGACCAGGAGGAAGTCGCCGACATATCAGCTTCAGGCGGGGTTGGGCGGCTTTGGGCCCGCGAGGTGACTGGGCCGGGGCGTTCTTCTGGAGAAGTGTGACTGGCAGGACGCCGTTGGGGTTATTCGGAGGGGCCATGGTAGCGCGATGATGCTCGTTTGTGCCTTGAGTCGGTATGCTCGAATCGATAGTTCTTCTCTATAGTCAGCTGTTAGTGATGGTTGTTATAATACACAAACATAGTATATACCGTGGTTGTAGTCGTACTCAGGAGCCTGTGCCGGGTGAATTTATCGCGCGTCGCTGGGCGGAAGTGAGATGGAGGAGGGGGCGCCGGTTTGTAGGTGAGGACATTGAAGGAATCACTCGAGAAGGCAGTACCAGACACAGCGATTGTTTTGGTGAGAGTTGCGGCAATGACGCAGCGACAACAGGCGCGCCTTCACGAGACAGTGGGCGAGGGCAGGCGCAACGGCAAGCGCCGAGGGGCGGCAGCTGCCCCACCGGCGCCCGCGTCTCGACTACACCTCCAACCACGCCGATATATCCTCAATACCCGAACCTCGAGCTGCCCACGACGCAGAGAATTGCCGCTGACTGCGCACACTATCACTGCGAGCCACGCTGACCCATGATACCCTATAGCGCTTCCCTCAGCACCCCCATCGGCACACGACCCGCCTCCCTCCCGCCGCCATTGTCGCCTATCCCGACCTAAACGCACCGCATCGAGCTTTCCCTATCAATTCTGAGACAGAGCACGACTGAAAGATGGGCAAAGATAGCGACGTACCACAGCCAGGGCCTGCGCGCCTCGCAAAGGGCGCAGGGCCGGATGAATGGCTGGAGCAGGCCAAGCAATGCAAGTACCTGCCCGAGGCCGACATGAAGCGACTATGTGAAATTGTCAAGGAATGTCTGATGGAGGGTGAGTGAAACAATGCCGCATGATCCACGCAAGGGAGGAGAAGCATGCCTATTGTGCGGCATGATATCTATATCCATATATAAGACTAACCTACGTCTACCAGAATCCAACATCCAACCTGTACGAACACCCGTCACAGTATGCGGAGATATCCACGGCCAATTCTACGATCTCCTCGAGCTCTTCCGTGTCGCTGGCGGCATGCCCAACGACTCCCCTGCCGCGCCCCTCGCACCGCCAGTCACATTACCAAGCACAATCAACCCCGCCGATCTCGAGCCTCCTACCAGCATAACAGACCCCAAGGTCAAGCGCAAGATGAAGAGAAGATTCCAGCGCGATCCCAACTACACTGGGCCAACAAGTCCTCCTGGCGGCGATGGCGATGAAGAGGGCGACGACGAAGAGGAGGAGGAACGCGGCCGAAGCAGGAGCGTTCACGACAGGCGGAGTCTTGGCTCGGCATCGGACGCAGACTCTACCAAGAACACAGTGGGTGGAAATGGCCAGCAGAACTTCATCTTCTTGGGTGACTTTGTCGACCGAGGATACTTCAGTCTGGAGACCTTTACCCTTCTCATGTGCTTGAAGGCGAAGTAGGTCAACTGCACACAGAACTACATTAACGGTACTAATTGAAATAGATTCCCTGACCGCGTCACTCTCGTCCGCGGAAACCACGAGTCGAGACAAATCACCCAAGTCTACGGTTTCTACGAGGAATGTCAGACCAAATACGGCAACGCTTCGGTATGGAAGGCCTGCTGCCAAGTCTTCGATTTCCTTGCCCTAGCCGCTATCGTCGACGGAAAGGTGCTCTGCGTACACGGCGGTCTAAGTCCGGAAATCAGAACACTAGACCAGATCCGCGTTGTTGCGCGAGCCCAAGAAATCCCTCACGAGGGAGCCTTCTGTGATCTCGTATGGAGTGATCCGGAAGATGTCGACACGTGGGCTGTCTCACCCCGAGGAGCCGGCTGGCTTTTTGGAGACAAGGTGTCTTCAGAGGTATGCATTCATCTTCCTTCCCCCATTACCCCATCGCTGACTGTTGCAGTTCAACCACGTAAACGGTCTCCAACTCATCGCACGCGCCCATCAATTAGTCAACGAAGGCTACAAATACCACTTCAAAGACAAAGACGTTGTCACCGTTTGGTCCGCACCCAACTACTGCTACCGCTGCGGAAACGTCGCCTCCATCATGAACCTAGGCGAGGACCTCAAGCCCGAGTTCCAAATCTTCTCTGCGGTTCCAGATCATAAGCGCGCCGTCCCCGCGGGTCGTGGAGGTCGCGGAGAATACTTCTTGTAGAAGACGCGTATACCGATGTTGTGTCCATGGACCGGAGGAGAGTGATGTTGTCGGCTGCTGTGTATATGCAATCTTACGATACGATGAGAAGCGGAGAATTGAATACCCCTGGGAGATGAACGAACGAATGGCATGTATACAATCTTTGCCTTGACATGGCTTGTACGATATCGCGTTGATGAAATTTTGAGGTAGTACAATGGTACCAATACGTTTCGCATGCGTTATTTCTCCTCCGGGGCAGTCGGGTCATTATACAGCCTACCTGATACCACGGCCTGCTTTTGGTGGCTGCTTACGCGACACATCATGTGGACCTCGGGAGCTTTCACGTGCAATTGCTCGCCACTGCCGGGCCGAGCGCAGAGGTGGCCTGATGCATCTGAACATGTAAGACTCCCGCATTGAGTTTGGCTTGCGATGTAAAAACACTGATCAATCCATCCCGTTCAGTATGTAACGTGTAAATCCTAAAGGACTCATCTTTAGTCACGCAGGAGGTACTCAAAAGGTCAACGTTAACCCAACGGCTTACAGGTGCTCCGAAAATTCCATTTGACTGGGTCCTATATTCTTTGCAGGCCCTGATTGCGAAAGCATGGAGAACACTCAGGCTGTCGTTTGGAGCGGAAAAACCTAGTCAGTGAGGGGGTGGGTTTGTCCCTCAAGAAGGCGGCTCTCGTTCAGCCTTGTCATCAGCCCCCAATCTCTTATCGGTAGCCTTCCTGCATGTCCGTCTCGATAACTCTTGGCAAGCCTTTTTGTCAGAGAGCTGAAGAGAGGATGCGTTCTTTGGGCAATCATCTCCGCGAGCAGCCCTCCTTACCACTCGGTCTCGGCCCCCTTCTTCTTGACATTGCCGCCGCTAGTGTTGAAGCGCTTTACATCTGCAGTCAAGTTTGATTCCTTACCAATAGACTAACTCAGCCTGGCTTCTTTGATATCGTGCCTAAAAATGGGCTTGAGACGCATGGCTACGGATTCAATTTCGATGCGTTGCTCGGTTGCGGGGCTGTGCACCACAGGATAAGTAGTGCACCAGACCTTTTGTTGGAACGTAGCCTTGATGTCTTTCTTGACCAAATCCTTGTCATCTTTCGTGCTCAATTGCCTCACATGGCGGACCCGATCAGCATCGTTGGCCTCGCATTGACGGTCATACAGATTCTCCGTCCAGCAGTTCAACAGTTGAAGGATGCGTACTCCAACGGAGGCAGCATTCATCAGACTCTTGATGAACTCCGAGCCGACTCAGAGGCTGTTTGCGACCTGATCGACAACATACATCGCGTTCTCAGCACCCCGAGCTTCGTCGCTGCGGTGGAAGAAGTGCAAGGCGCGTCGCAGGTCAACTTGCTAGAATGTCTCCAACGAGCTCTTCAAAGCTGCGAGCGCGAGGCCCAAAGACTCAGCAATTTCATCTACGATCTCGATATCTCAGGGGCTACGGGCCGCCTAAGGCAGGGCGTGCTTCAGTTCAAGCTTGATAGACGCTCGGATGACCTCCAACACATCAAGCGCAACTTCCAGGATCATAAGAGCTCAATTCAGTTGGCGTTTACGGTTGTCTCAACGTATGTCGTCCCCTTTTGAACAATGAAGGCAATGACTGACGAATTATCCCAGCTGCAAGCAAATGCAGGTTGCTGAACGTGATGCTCTCGATGCCGCAAGCCTGAAAGCTCAAATCAGCAGACTCGAGGTGGCCTTGGAGCAAATCGGAAAATTGCTAAACGAACGGCTAGCGGCGCCAGGTGACAAAGAGCAGACAGTAATGCTGGATGAAATGCGAGAGCTCCAGCATAGATCTGCAAAGGTCCGACGCCGAGCCACAATGCGACTCGACCAGATTACGTCTATACTCGAGGAGACGCAGAGCTCACGTCCTATGGTTGACAGGACCCGCCCTCCTGTACCACCGCGAAGGGCCTGGAAGGATCACCAAAAGCCGCCTGCAGGATTTCGCCCGCCAATTGACCAAAGCCCAGCCTCGAAGGTACCATCAACTCCAACCACCCCAAGAGCGGAGAAACGCGTTGCAAGCATGCCGGCCACCCCGACCCCATCGACAATCCCGCGAGTAAACGCCTTGAGCCCGGACACGAACAAGTCAGCCTCACCAGTGCTACCTGCCACCCGTCTTTCAGACATGACTACAAATGGTCTACAGATAGATGCTGAAGACTTCGAGGAGAGAGTTCTGTCACTTTTATCGACCGCGTCCACTCAACGTATGGGTACCGAGAAGCCATACAACGACGAGACAATTCTGGCGCTCGGGGAACTACTCGCAATGCTTGGAAAGCATGACTGGAGTGTACGACCCAGACTATATCTCGTGCTCCGCATGATCAAGGAAGTGCGAGCGATGAACATGCTCATTGTCGAAGGGTTCAAGGACATTCACTTCCCTTTCACTGAAGTCGACCTTACTTCCAGTCTCAAATCTGCTGCTTCCAGGCAAAACTTTCTTCGGGAACAACGGTTTGTACTCAGCTCAAGATCAGTCGATCTGGTACAAGGAGGTCGTCATCATCACCTTGGTAAGCTACACTTCTGTACACCGTTCGCTGCTCAGGTGCTGACCTTCGCCAGACAAAGGTGCAGATTCTTATTTTGTCATTAAGGAGCAGCTTGGGAAAGGCGGCTTCAGCATTGTCCATCGTGTCGAAAGCAGAATTGATTTGATCGAATACGCTGTAAGGACTTGTGATGTGTTTTGCTAGAGTGTTGACTCATCAGCAACAGTTAAAACGCATCGATCGAAGGAGCGGCACATTTTCAAAGGACCGCAAGAAGCTGCTCTCATTCGAGAACGAGGTCCATAACCTCAAGCGACTGTCGCACCATCATCTGGTGAAGCTCCTAGGGTGAGTTTGGGCAAGCCGAGATACAATACGTCGCTAACGAGTAATGTGTCAGTTCATACACCGATCGAAGATACATTGGTATCATCATGGAACCAGTAGCCGATCTCGATCTGCAACAATATCTGGCCCGAGATGCATGGACTACACAAGACTATGTCGTCCTTCGGGGCTTCGTGGGATGCTTGTGCTCCGCTCTGGTCTATCTTCACGACAACAAATGCCGCCATAAAGATCTCAAACCCTCCAACATCCTGATCAAAGGCGAGCAAGTGTATATAGCGGACTTTGGACTCGCCTTAGATTGGACTGAGGCGCAACGAGAGACTACGATGGGTCAGCCTGAAGCTTATACACCGGCATACATCGCACCCGAAGTGAGTTCAGCTACGCATTATGACCCGACTCTTCGTTGACATTATCTCAGGTTGGCATGCTGCAACCCCGTAATACCGCCTCAGATGTATGGTCCCTGGGATGTATTTATCTGGAAATCGCTGTGAGTTAAAAGTTGCTTGTACGTATAATTTGACATTGCTGACTCTTCTAGACTGTTCTTACCAACAGACAACTGCGGTCGAAAGCTGAATTCTTCCAAGCCACAGGAACACTGTCAACAAACTATTGGCAGAACCCAGAAGCAATCCAGAGTTGGATAGCCGAGCTGTCGAATGGATCAACGACTGATCAGCCCTTGTTACAATGGACTAGCAACATGACCGCCAGTGTTCCTAAGCTGAGACTCACAGCTCAAGATCTCCAAACGATGATAACAAAGGAACAAGTAAGAGAAATCCATTACAGCGGTCCATGTTGTGCAAGCGAGGGTTTGTCGGGGGACGGAAGTGACACAACATCTTGGGCAGGCTCGCAGTCAGAAGATGAGATCTTCCAGACGGCCGTGCTGAGTGATGGCATGTCGGATGCACCCACCGTCATCAACAACACTACCACAACATCCATCGGAAGTGACGTGACGCTTCAGGCTCCTCCCGCAAGTATCGAAAAGACAGTGTATACGCCGTCCCATGTACCGGATTACCTCGGCCATCATTCCGCGGAAGGTGTCGGTCAGTCGCACCCTATATGGCTCAACGTCGGGAATAATGCAAATGTACCCTTCTGCGCTACACCTGCAGCGGTGACCGAGGAAAGCTACCCAAGACCGACAAGGGCTAGTATGGAAAAGGCCAGCGATTTGGACAAAGCTCGCGCCGACATACCGGAGGTGCAGGCAACGAAAGCGAAACACATAGCCAGGGATCGCACAGTCAAACGTACCGATCATGAGCACGAAGCCGCTCACTTGCGATTCGTGCATATACCAAAGGCCGCCGAACCCACCAACGAAGAAGACTCTTCTACTGCCATCAGTCTTGCGGAAGCGTTCGCAGCCGATGACGGCGCATTCGAATATCACTTGGCCCTTCTGAGGGAGAAGAATCCAAACTGGAGAGATGAAATCACCGGTCTGATCGTGGCAGAGGCGCTGAACAAATATGGGGCCAACGTTATGCTTGTCGCCAGCAACTTCCGCAATGACTCTCTCGCACGCGATGTGATTGAGCAAGCCCTCTTTGTGGATTCAAAGATCATCCATCAACGCGATGTGTTCAATCAGACCGCATTGCATTATTCGGCGAACAGGAACAGAGCTGGTATTACGAAGTACTTAATCAAGAAAGGTGCCAATGCGACAATCACGAACTTTCGAGGCCAGACCGCTTTCCATGTTGCAATCCATCGACGAAGCTTTGCGACTTACCAAATTTTGCTCCGCTACCTTGGCGCTGCAGATATCAATGCCAAGGACGATTGTTGTGAAACATCACTGCATCTGGCTTGCTATCATGACGCGCCTACTGAGTTCATCCTGAGTATGTTGGCGGCTGGTGCTGACGCAAATGTCGAAGACCTGTCTGGCAACACACCACTGACGATTAGCGAAAAGATTGGCAACCTGGAGATAGCTGATTTACTACGAGAGTATGAATCAGACGAACCCGGACTTTCTCCGCCACCGCCACCGTATCAGAGCACAATTTCCCTCGCCCGTCAACCAGAGCCCACTGGTTGCACGTGTGATCTCTGTCGTTTGTTCCAGGCAGTCCGCAAAGTCGACGATCTCGTCCCCGATCTGGCGGATTGCACGTGCACCTATCATTTGGTACGTCTCTCGCTCAAGACGTTGAGCGATGTGGACTACATCATGTCATGTCTGAGTTCGTGCATGTGTCGGTCTTGTGAAGGGGAGCGTGCCCTGAATGAGGACCGAGAGCCGTGCATTCAGTTTCCATCTTGCGACTGTGAAGACTGCATCGCTGAAATCAGCCCACCGGGGCCGTTCACGAATCCTCCTTCGCTACCCTACGGCGATGACTTCGCTGGCGCACCGCTACCTCCGTATCCAGACCATAGCTATTACGACTATATCATCGATGAGTACATCATTGAGGACGACACAGACCGATCACCACAGGACATCACCGCCCAGGCCTTGGCCTGCCTTGCCCAAGCTGGGTTCAAGGGAAAGAAGTCATATCGAAATGAGCCGGAAAAGGCCCTTAAATGGGTCATCAGCAACAACGCCACTACGCCTTATGTCTACAAGATTGTGGAAATTCTGCTAGACTGCGGAGCATCGGCCAATACGACAGACAAGAGTGGGTGCACTGGCCTTCACATAGCTGCTCGAACACGAGACGTTCGTTTAGCCATGGTACTAATTCAACGTGGCGCATGGCTTGACGTGCCTCGTCAAGCGATGTTCGCAGCCAAAGCGGATTTCACCCCTCTTAGATACGCGCTCTGGTTCGGAAACGCGCTATCGCTTCGACAGCTCTTGTCAGTAGGCGCAAATGTCAATGACCAGTCCGTATACGGTCGGAACACACTACTCCACGATGCAGTCACAAGCTTCGATCTCCTAGGCTGGCATATACCGATGCTGTTAGCGCATGGGGCCGACACAGAACTGGCAAATGAGGACGCAAACACACCACTCCATCTAGCTATCTCGCTGAATCAGACATTCGCTGTCATTGCGCTCCTAGATGCGGGAGCCAACATCGAAGCCATCGGGAAAGCTGGCGCGAAACCGCTAGCTATGGCGCTTGAAGGCGGCAACTACGGCATCATCACTCTTCTCCTTGATCGCGGTGCAGACGTACACTCACGTGCTAACGGCATGACATGCGCGCTATTCTACGCAGTTCAAATGGGCTACGTCGATATAGTGAGCATACTCCTTGAAGACTACGAAGCGAAAGAGGACATGCATCGCACTGATCTCACAGGCCGCAGTATTTTACACGTGCTTGTGTATACACATGTCGATCACATGCTCCATATACTCGACAGATTGATCGAAGAAGGCGCAAACGTCAATGCAGAGGACTACTCTGGGTCGACGCCGCTACATGAAGCTGCGAAGCTGGGGAGTACTGTAATGGTCAGTGGGCTGCTGGAATATGGGGCTACGATGAATGTACAGGATCGTCAGGGCAAGACCCCGTTGGATCATGCGCAGGCGAAGAAGCATCGTGAAGTTGTGGAGTACTTGGGTGGGACATTGAAGAAGAAGGGTTGGTTTCGCAGGAGTTAGGCCTTGGCTTTCTATGCGCATTAATGACCTACTTTCGCACCGCAATGAATTTGTTGTTCAACACGATTTCAACTGTCTGATCTCAAAGAGATCCTTACACCTCAGGATGGTGAGCTGATCACGGTCACTTGGAGGATCGTACGAATGATGTGCATTGAACAGGCTCGACGCCACTCTTCAGTCCGGCATATCACCAGCCACGCCTCTTTTCCCTGACGAAAGAACCGAGAAAAAAAGCTCATTCAATAGAAACAAAACCGTGACGGAGAGACAAGTTATTGAGTGACGTGTGTTGGCGCGCGGGGTGGATCGTGTGACATGTGTTTGCTATGTAGAATATAACGACAAACATGATTGTCTGGCACTCACGACCCTACTCGCCCTTGGACTTGCCCAAGGGGGGTAAAGACTCATTTGTAGAGTTTGTCACACGGCTGATGACGGGACCAGCCCGTTGGGTGGGTGAAGCGGATCCGTGACTTGGGAATTCGGGTTATTATACAGCCCACCTACGCCCAACAAACCCTCTCTTACCATATCTAACCAGGCTATTACCTCCCTACATGCAAAATATACAATGGGCGCATCAGCATCGAAAGCGCGCGCTATCAGCATGGACTTCCAAGTGTGGGAGGCTCTCTTACACACAGCTCAAACGCAAAAGCTCCGTCCCGTCAGTACCAACTTGACGTTCGACACGATATCGTACACCATTTGGTCCCAGAAACATTGGCGATTGACTTTCGAGAATGTACCGCCTCCAAAGGATGCGCAGTTACAGCCATGCTTTCTCTTGAAGATCCCAGCGTCACAGCCTCTGGATTACGCGCAGATCATACAGCAATTGGAAGAAGTCCAGGCCAAAGACGATGTGACCAGCTCAAGCTTTCTGCGACATGTTGTGGTCGTATCTCACCGCCGCTCAAGTCCAGAACTGGACGTCGGGGTCGCAGCCGCGCTGAACGCTCGAGGGCTTCAGACTCTCACGTTTGCAACCTTGCAGAGTGGCTGTGACATTGAGACCGGTCCTCACTTGCTGCATGGTAACGACCTCTGGAAGGTGGCTAGACTGTACGATGATACCAATGGTGCTTTTGTGGCTGCTATTCGTCCAGGTGAAGAAGAAAAGTGAGATCTGCTCCGCATTCTAAAAGTTAAAGTACTAACGGCGTAACAAGCAGATTTGAGAATTTGCGGCTGTGTAGCGACCGATATCAGACGCTTAGCGTTGCCATACCGTCACGAGCGAGTGCACTCAGTTTGATTGAGCAAGGATCGGACTGCCGACTGAGCGGCATGAGATTCGCAGTAAAAGACATGTACTCCGTCGCTGGCTTGAAAACTTCACTCTGCAGCCGACCGTACTATGCAGTTTCGGAGCGAGCGGAATTGACCGCTCCATGCATCACGAGATTGTTGAGCGAAGGTTGTACTCTGGTCGGGATGCTGAAGTTGAGTTCCTTCATTGGACGTGAAGAGCCGACTGAAGCCATAGACTACCCAGCACCGTTCAACCCCCGCGGAGACGGCTATCAATCACCGGCTGGCAGTAGCAGCGGGAGTGCAGCGGGTCTTGCGTCATACCCGTGGTTGGACTTTACCCTTGGATCTGATAGTAAGTCAAAGTCTCAGCGGAGGATTCGACCCTAAAGTATAGTAGCTACGGGAAGCGGGCGTCGCCCGGCATTTGTGAATGGCTTGTTCGCACTGCGCCTTTCTACAGGGCGTCTGTCACTCGAAGGAATGGTGCCGACTTTCGAGTAAGTTTATGCCATTCGTGATTGATGCGATGGGTTCACTGATCGTCAGTCGCTTCGATACGCAATGTATCTTCGCTCGCGATATTGACAAGATGGATACCATACTCCAAGTATGGCTCGACAATTGCGACATCGCAAAACCCAAGGCTAATGTGAGTTCAATCCGGGCGGTTTGTAATCATATCGTCGGCTGTTTCTGACCATGATTAGCTGCCGAAAAGACTTCTGTATCCAGTGGACTTCTTCCCAGTCAACAACGAAGTACAGATGCAGCACGTGAAGAGCTTCGTCAAGGATTTCAGCGACTATCTGCAGGCGCCAGTCACGGAAATTGACTTATCACTGCAATGGGAAAGGTCGCACCCAAATACCGTGGATGAAGAGTCACTAGATGGCTACTTGAGCGAGGTCTGGCTTCATTGAATCATCGCGATAGCGATGCTGACGTGCCCTAGGTCTCCACTAGAACCTTTTTGTATGACTTCTATCATAGCTTCGACAATTTCCGTGAAACGTACAGGCGCGAGTTCCAGAAGGAACCTTACGCAAATGAATACACACAGTGGAGATGGTGCGCACCGCCGTCTCGGACACTGACGTGATCTAACTTCGCGCCAGGGATGTCGCCAAATCAGTGACGAAGGAAGAGAACGAGGATGCTGTGGTCCGCCTCGACACATACAGAGACTGGCTACTCTCTGAAGTGTTCCAAGGGGACAGATTCGACACCTTGATGGTGCTGCCAGTCTCAGAGGTCGCTCCAAACTACAGAGATCGGAAGACAGAGCCGCCGAGCAAGCAGAACGCGTTCGATGCGCTGTATATCTCACCCACTATCGAGGCTCCCGAAATTGTCGTTCCAAGTAGGTTGTATGCCCTGTAGTAGAAGAGACTGGGCTGATGAGCTCGTTTAGTTGCAGAATTCCCGTACGCATCTCGGGTGAGCGGGCGCGAGGAGAAGCTTCCAATTGCGATATCGGTAGTAGGATGTCCGGGTGAGTCTTCTTTCTTTGGATACGACTGGTGAAAGTAAGGTTGGCTAATGCTGTTGTAGGTACCGACCTGGCACTCGTTGGTCTTGTGAGGGGTTTTCTGAAAGCTTCCAAGAGACCTATGCGCGTTTCCATCGGATCGTCGATGTTCGATAGTAGTAGCCCCTAGAAGCCTGCGAAATGAAATGCTAAAACGGGCTGCATGAATGAGAAGCGCTTAAGGTCGTATGTGCAAAACACAGGATGAGTAAAGTGCGCTTTTGACTCAGACTGCGGTCTAGGTAGTCCTGATTCGGGATGGCCATTGAGATTGTACGTCAGTATACGGTATGATTAAGATACCTAGCCTCTAATGTTTCTAATGTTTTAACGTAATTTTATTACTAAGACGCTAGTCTCTAAGTAGGTTTTCTCCTATAATTTTACCTTAGTATTTTATTATTTTTACTAACTTATATTTACTAGTCTACTCTAACTTAAAGCGCTCTTTATAACTAGCTATAATTATAGTACTAATTTTACTTTTCTTCTTTTATATACGCGTAAGCTATACTTTTTTAGTATTACTAAAAGTACTAGTAATATACTTTATAAGTAGCTTATTTAAAGCGTTAATTTTTAGCTAAATAAAGTTAATATTATTATAATTTTTATTTATATACTATTAGTAAGCCTACTTTATTATTACTTTACTTACTTTATATAAACTAATCTTTTTAAATATTATAATAGCTAGCTTAATAGCTTTACTTTTTTCTAAGTTTTTAATAAGTTTCTTAACTTTTTAAATTATTTTTTATACTTTTAGTAATTAAAAGTTTAGTAAATATTTTACTACTAGTAACTTAGATAGTTACTTATAGCTAAGAACTAAACTATTATAGTATTTTATTACTATATTATTAAAGAGAATTTAAATAAAGTTAGTATAATATAACTTAAAAGAAGTAGTAATAGTACTTTATATACTTAAACCTTAACTATAGTTTTACTATTTTATTATAAAGTTATTTTAAAAACTTATTACTATACTATAAATATATATAAAGATATACTAGCTTAGAATTTATTAGTAAATTATAGTTATTATATACTTAACTACTTAAAGTACTATTAAAGTTATTATAATTAGATTATTACAAAACAAGCGCGCAAACAAGAAGAGATACCTAGGTAGCTTTGATGATGTGAAAGACATCCTGGCTCGGACGCCCAATTGAAAGTGGGGGAGCTGCCTGCATCTCCGACCCAATCACAATAGCCCAGGCCGCGACGGCCCACCTGAGCCGCTACTTTCCTGCTCCGGTGATAAGCCCCCTCCTACATCCTCTTCAACATCAATCGCACCCTTCATCTTTGGCATTGCGCCCTATGAACAAATTCATCGTCGCATTTCGACCATACATAGCGCCTGCTCGTACTATGTATTACTGTGACTTTTAGCCCACGAACATACGATTAGCAGACCAAAGACTCCCGCTTCAGTTTGCAAGCGCAACAAGCGTATCATGTCGTGGCGCTCACGAGGTTGAAGGCTGCAGTCGATTGCGCCTCTGGCGTCCAGACTATCTATTGAGCTGCGATTTGAGAGGTTGTAGTATTGCTAGAGTGTTTCGTGGCTGAATCCAGCCTCTCCAACTAAAGACTTCAGCCGCACCCGAACTTAGCTAGCATACGGAAACCTTCATGGAGGGATATGCTTATAGCCCGCCATTGCTCACCCACTCTATTCTCCACGCCTTACTAGAAGACTCATCCTTTCACTACACGTCTACTCAGAGATCACTCTTTAGAAGTGTGCCATAGATGGGCTGGCGACATGGCGGAAACTACCACTCTTACACCGAACAGTCCAGTACCCGCGACAATATCCATCTATGGCCTGACCGAGCTCACTCAAGGCGACGCGGTTCGAGAATTTGACATTGTTTTTGTACATGGCCTACAAGGTCACCCGGAGAGCACGTGGACGTTCTCCGAGGGTACTAATAACCAAGCATCTACCAAACCATCTTCCAAGGGCTCCTTTTTCCGACGGTCCGCAAAAGCAGCTGCAACGGAGCCCGCAGCTGATTTGCCCGGAACTCCTCCACCGTCAAACACCTTTTGGCCGCGAGACTTCTTGCTCGAGGATTTCCCCAAAGCGCGCGTTTTCACCTATGGCTATGATTCCTCCGTTAGCCACTTTTTCTCTGGCCCAGCTAACCGCGACAACATCCTCGACCGTGGACGAGACCTGCTCGAACGG